CTCTCTCTCTCTCTCTCTCTCTCTCTCTCTCTCTCTCTCTCTCTCTCTCTCTCTCTCTCTCTCTCTCTCTCTCTCTCTCTCTCTCTCTCCAGATTGGTATCTTTATGATAAATAGTGTGCTGATGATTGTTTTGTTTTTGACAGAGGACGTGAAATGAGGGAGAAGCAGTCAACTCGAGCGTAGACGACCCGCCATCTCCGCGATCCATCAAGCTTCCATCGCCAGCGTCTTCCTTGGCTGAAGTCGATGATATCGTACAAGCAGCAAAACTCAGATAGGCCGAAGTACAGTGACATGTCACATTTTGATTTATTTGTTGAGGGCAATCAATCTTTCATCTAAATCTCTCTCCATTAGCAACCTCGCGAACATGGACAGATCCCAGCAGAGCTGCAAATGCGTTTGTTTGATTTGCTAAATGGATGTCGTTTGCATCATGCGAGTGTAGAAGGCATTATAGGGTTCAGCGTCCTGATGAGTCGTCACTGCCCCTCGTTTGTTGTCCTCTTCTCCCTCTCTGCGAACGGTTTACCGTAGGCAGCTCTGTTTGACGATATATATACGATATCGTCAAACAGAGCTGCCTACGGTAAGCAGTACGAACAACGTTACAGCGGTTATTGACATTAGGCGCAACGGGTTCTTGGTCCGAAGTTGTTGCTTCCATTCAGCAGGCTACGCCCGCTTGGCGAGCTCGCCTGCTGCAATGGCTGTATATAAATGTTTCTAATGCAGACATGATTGCGTACGTCCGTGAACTTGAATGCCTTATTCGGCGATTTCAACACGTCCGACAACGATATACTGCTCATTCCCGTGACACCTTTGGAAACTCCATCAGAATTGTGCATATGCATGAGATCCTGAAGACTACTAAGTTGCGCCATGYGTTGCATTCTCCGGATGTGTGTGCATTACACCCYGACCCCCAGGCAGCTAGCAGCATTCGCATCTGTGACAAACTCGTGCCCCCAACAAGGGTACAATTCTGTAATTTTACGGAAGTGGCCTTGAGTGTCACTCCGGACCTGTGCCTACCTGCTGCTGATGATTGCCCTTGTCGTCGGGCGTTTCCTAACTGCACCGATCTGGTTGACGGCCATGTTGTTTCCGCCAACTATGATCTGATTCCGGATGCTAACCTTCGTCGCCTGTTCTATGAGGGCTCAAAATATCGGCTGAATGGGGTAGTGGGAGATATACTTCAAGCATTGGCTGTTGGTATTGATGAGTATATTGCTGCGTATCTTCGTCCAGCAGCACGACAATCCTGTGCTGCTACCCTAGCCCCACAATTGGCTAATTGGCGTGCTGCAGTCTTGCGTCACTGTGAGTGCAACATGACTACCGCATCACCATTGCGACAGCCTCGCTCTTTGCGGCACGCGCATATGGCCCTGCGTCAGCTTCAAGAATCCTTTGCGATTGTTCCTGTGGACAAAACATCACATAATTTGGCTATTTGCTGTAAAAATTGGTACAAATTCAAACTGTCAAGCCACCTTGACAGTCTTACGTATTCTCGGCCTGCTGAATCAGTGGCTGACATTCTGAATAGCCATGCAGTTTGGAACAATCATTGGAATTATCCTCATGCTGACACATTGCCGTATCTCTATTGTGTTCTTAAGGCCCATAAATCTCCTCCCACACTTCGTCCTATTCTTGGTATCACTGCCCGGAACAATCTTTCTTCTTCCTCTTCCCATACGGCCCGGCGAAGTGACCTACMCCCTTCCCAACGAGTCCAGCGTTTGCATCATCGACCGCCTCACAAGCCGGTAGYTAGTACAACGCCTACTTCGGCTCGTTKGAGTACAGCACTTCAAGGCGTCATCCGTACTCTTCGCGAAAAAGATAATCAACTCTTTCGAACCGAAGGTATTCGGCGATGTTGGATTGTTCAGAGCAGTGACGAGGTCATGCTTGACCTCAAAAAGAATAAAGCTTCTCTTAGAGGTCTGGCCCCGCATACAKTTGATTTCACTACTATGTATACTAATCTTTCTCATCAACGAATTCTTGACAATGTGGCTAATGCCGTTGATGAGGYGCATGCCTACGCTCTTGCACAGGTACGGCAGCATACACAGACACRCTCATCGGGTGTTGCTCTTCGTATGCTGGTCCGTGGACCCCGTGCAGGGGAACGGACTACGGATACATGACCTGACACTTTTTCTGTTTCTGACATTCTTCAACATCTTCGGTTTATTGTTACAAATACATATTTGTATACAGCGGATGGCCTTGTTCGTCATCAAGATGTCGGTATCCCTATGGGTACAAACGCTGGTCCTGAGATTGCCAATCTTACACTCTATTGGGATGAGGCGCAGTACGTGGACAACCTGCAGCGTGTGGATCCCTCTGCTGCTAGCCGATATGCTTTTACATATCGGTTCATTGATGATGTTCTTACCTTTGATTGTCTGCCACCATCATCAGCCCATTATGGTCTTGAATGGAAGGAGACCACTGCGGCAGATGGCTCGTGCACCTTCTTAGGTGCGAAACTGCAGACACGAGCAGACGGATCTCTCAGATTGAGTGTGTTTGATAAGACCGTTGCATGGGATTTTCCTGTTATACGATATCCTAGTGCAACGTCGAACATTCCATCTCATCAGCCTGCAGGTGTRTTCACTGGCCAGCTTACGCGTTTTGAGCAGATCTGTGACAATTGGCGTGATTTCAAAACGGCAGCAACCATGCTTGTCCGCCGTTTGCTCTCGCGTGGTCATGCTCCGTCAACACTGGCCCGTGGATGGACTTGTTACATTCGAGCTCGCCAGCGTCGACATCCAATACATGTAACTCGCCTTACACAATGGTTTCGACATATGATCCGCTGGTCCGTGCACCATCCTCTTCCGCCCTCTCCTCCCCTTTCCTCCCCTTCTCCTTCTCCCATTTCCCCTTCTTCTCCCCCTCC